GGGGAGTCCAGCGACATAGCCATTACGCTAACTGCTGGTTCCCAATACCCACAGTTTTCAGGAATTAAGACATGACATCTTGGGGGACCTATTATTCTATTTCCACTTACGTACTTTGAGTTTATTTATTTATTTATTTATTTTTTTCCTCAGAGGCCATATCCACTCACCAGAGAGAAACCAGAAAGAAGAGGGAGAAAACACTCCTCAAATAGGCATGGTCATGTTTCAGCCCCTTCTCTTCCACTTCTCCATACTGTTGGAATTTGGGGCAGGCACACACACACTCCTGGCATATTTTTCAAGCTGCTGGGACTGAGATTCGAACCATAGGGTTAGCCATATAAGACCCAGCTCCCTTAAATCCTAGGCCATGGGACCAGCCCTTAAGTTTTTGTGTTTTTATGTTTATTTTTTTCACGAGTGGGGAGAGATAGGCAGGGCCTTAACTGCTCGGCGGTACCCCTGCCAAGTCAGCCAGGATCACCTGGGTTGAACCTGGAATCTGAACGGAGGGTCTCCCATAGGGCTCCAGCACTGTGCAGTAGTGTCCTACCCCCTGGGCCACTGTTACTGGGATAGACGTTCTAAGTCTTAAGTCCCCAGTATCACCATCTCTTTGAAAATGGTTTTTGTTCCTGAGATCAATGGGCACAAAGATGTCTTTCTTATGTATTTTTAAAAAAGGTTAGAGCTTGGGACCAGCAGTTAGCATAATGGCTATGTCGCTGGACTCCCACGTAGTTGACCGCGGTTCGCATCCCGGACCTGGTGGCTTAAAACTCACACCAGGCGATCCCAAGAGGAGAAGGGAGGAGAAGGGATTGCGGCGTGGCCATCCTCCCTGGGGGGTGATTTCTCGCTTTCTATCTCTCTGTCTCTCTCTGTGTCTCGGGAGCACATGCGCCCTATAGCAAAAACCTAAAAAAAAAAAAAAAAAAGCTTAGAGCTTTTGGGACCAGCAGTTGGTGTAATGGCTGTCACTGGACTCTCATGAAGTCAACCCGGTGGCTTAAACTCATGCTGGGCGCGTGTTCGTGTGTGCCCAAGATCCCGAGAGGAGAATGGAGGAAAGGGATTGCGGTGTGGCCATCTCCCAGAGGTGATTTCTCTCTTTCTATCTCTCTGTCTCTGTCTCTCTGGCAAGTCAATTCTCTATTCTCCTCTCGGGATCCTGGCCACTCACGCACACGTGCCCGGTGTGAGTTTAAGTCACCAGGTCTGGGACTAGAACCACGGTCGACTACATGGGAGTCCGACGACATAGCCATTACACCAACTGCTGATCCCAGTAGTCCTGTCATATGTGACAGTCAAGAAGTTGGCCTGGATGATGACCCCATACCTGACTGTGGCTGCTCTCTTGGAGCATTTAACACCTAAGTCTAGGTGACTGTTACAGTTTCTGATGGTGACAAATACCTTGACCCTGACTTGCTGGCCAATGTAGGTCTGCTTTTACACAGGCATGGGGGGACATCTCCAGGAAAAGGTCGATGATGTCAGAGTTCTTGACAGGCAGCAAGAAGAGATAAGTCTCCACCAAGGACTTGATCTACACGTCCTTGACCTGAGCATGTCCTGACTGACAAGTTATTGACTGTAAGAACAAAAAAATGTTTTTTATTTTTACTTTTTCTTAAAAGTATTTTAAAAATAATTATTTATCTATTTAATTCCATTTGTTATTATTATTTTTTAATTTGACCAGAGAGAGAAAGAGAAAGCGAGAAAGCAAGCCACCAGATCCAGGACTCCAACTGCGGTCGGCCACGTGGGAATACAGTGCCTTTAACCACCACGCCACCTGCTGGCCCCTACTTTTTTTTTTTTTTTTTTTAAGAATTATTTTATTTAACTTTATTTTATTTATTTTAATTTGACCAGGGAGGGACAGAGTGAGAGAGAGAAAGTGAAAAAGCAAGCTGCCAGGTCTTGGACTCAAACTGCAGTCGACCATGTGGGAGTCCAGCACTCTTAACTACCATGCCACCTGCTAGCCCCCCAAAAATGTTTTTAAACTTGTGTTTATGTAGAGTTCTTTTTCAGTTGTTGATTTCCAGTTGTCTACCCTCTTCAGCCTTCCAGTAATCTGTCTCAAGTTAAAGATGGTTGGTGGCATGATTTTCAGAGAATTATCCCCTTCTGTCTGATTTGACAGGTCCTGGAGGCACAGAGAAGGCATCAAAAGGAGAAGTCTGGCATCATACCTACCTCGCCAACGCCCTATACTTACAACAAGGTACGGAAAGAGATTTCTTTTTATACCTCAGATGTAGTTCTTCTCCTGAAAGGTATTTACTGCCTTCTGGGTATGTTTTTTATTCTTAGCCCTTAATATTCCTGCTTTGAAGCCTAGGAGCAATCTTTCATGCAGAAAAGCATATGGAATTCAAATTCCTATCTGTTTAAATGTAAAATAAAGTTCTTACCCCATTAGGTTTGACATCAGGAACCAAGAGCCATGGTCACCCACTGGGTTATTTATTTGGTAGGCTATACAATCCACTGACCACATTGAAATGACATGGTTGTCCTGATTTTTTTTTTCCCTTCCAGAATACACTATATATTTGCCCAGTCAAGCACATCAACATATGTGTTACCGTCAACAAATAATTTTCTATTTCTTGTTTCCTGTATATTTTGTTATTTTTGCCATCCTTGATTCTCTTTTACCCTCTGCTGTGTCTCACCCCCCTCCCACACTGTCTCTGGTATCCATAGTTACTTCCTATGCCTTTCCCCCATTTTATTTATTCGCTAATGAACTTAATTAATCTAAATAGTTCCAATAGCAAATGCAGCTGCTAGATACATATCCATGAACACAAGTCTGACTTTAGGCATAAACCTCAGTGAGTAGAACGAACATACTAAAAAGTAGCACCTAGCTGGGACTGTATAGCTTACTGTAGTCGTCAAATATGAATTTTTTTAATTTCAAGAAAAATAGTTTTTGTGTTTTTTTTCCTCCTGAAACTTTTTATTTTAATTAATTAATTAATTTACATTCATCCCCTAATCATCATCACAGTATACAAAAAGTGGTTTCCTATCCACAATATACTGCATAGTGGCTTAATTATGTATGATGTATGTTATCATCAATATTTTTCTATTTCTTGTTTCATATATGTGTGTGTGTGTGTATATATATACACACACACACACACACACACACACACACATATTTACTCCTATGTCTGACCCTTTGTCCCTTCCCACCCTCTTCTCACACTATCTCTGGTGTCTACAGTTGTCTTCCATTCCTTTTCCCCCCACATTTTATTGATCACATAATTTCTTAAATAATCTAAGTACTTCCAATAGCAAGTTCAGCTGGTGATTTCAAGAAAAGCAGTTTTGAATTGGTAAGGAAATTTGCTTAAAGCGACATAACCATTACTCTAACTGCTGGTCCCTACCTCAAAACATTTTTAAAAAGAAAAATTACAAAGAAATGAGAAGACAGACAGAGGTAAAGAGAGACAAAGACAGAGACAGAGACAGGTGGCTTGAAAGTCTGCCTACCATGCGAGTTTATGGGCTGGAGGCTGAATTATCAGTGGAAAATCTCCATTTCTCCTATTCTCCTGAAATCACTAGTTCTTGGTAGCTGTGAAGGGATCTTCTGAGGCCTGCTCCCTTGCCTCTCCTCTGGCCTGATTTTTTGAGGTAAAGGATATCTGAGGTACAGAACCCTTTGTGATCATTTATGCAATTATTCTATCTATCTCTCTCTCTCTCTCTCTTTTTTTTTTTTTTTTTTTTTAAGTTTTTTGCCATATGGTGTGTGTACTTGCGAGAGAGACTGTGAGGGGGAAAATGAGAAGTCACCCCCAGGGGGTTGACCATGTCACCATCCCTTGTCTCCTCCTAGGATTTTGGGCATGCATGCATACACATCCAGCATGATTTTCTTTTTCTTTTTTTTTTTTAAGAGAAGTTTTTGCTTGCACTCACCAGAGAGAGAGAGAGAGAGACCGACAGAAAGCAAGAAATCATCCCCCAGGGGGAATGGCCATGCCACAAACTCTTCTCTGTTCTTCTCTCAGGATTTTGGGCACACATGCACACATTCCGCATATGAATTTGAAGCCCCCAGGTCCAGGACTTAAACCACAGTTGGCCATGTGAGAGTCTAGCGACATAACTAACCATTATGCCACCTGCTGATCCCATCCAGTGTGATTTTCAAGCCACCAGGTCCAAGACTCGAACAGTTTTTGGCCATGTGGGAGCCCAGCACCTTTACTACCTGCTGGCTCCATAATCATTCTGTCTTACCCCATGAAATACTTCATTTAAGAGAGGGTCCAGTCCACATAGCAAATGCTTCTAAATATCTTATCACAGTCCTTAATCTGTAGCCCTCATATTGAGTATCTCTAAAGTACAAGAAGTTTAGATCTCTTAACTTGGAGTCATTCTGTAAGTTGGAAGGGGAAAAAAAATGATGCTACTCGGGGACCTGAGCCTGGATATGGATGACAGAGACAGTGCTATGGATGATAAGAAGGCAGTGGGGTGGGAGACTTGTTCTGGCTCTGTCACGTGTCAGCTGAGTGACGTTGGTTATGTCATTTAGTTCCACTCTTGACAAGAGGACCCGATGGGTGACATGATCTCTCTAGTATTTTTCTATAAAGTGAAAGATATGAGTTAAGTCTTTTTTTCTGTTTTTTTTTTTTCCTCTTTTTTAAGAATATTAGGGGGGAGAGAGGATAGAAGAGAGGGACTAAGAGAATGAGGAAGAAGCATAGAGATTTTTGAAAGGAGGAGAAGAGTTTTTTTTTAAGATTTTTATTATAGGGCGTCTATGTTTGCTGAGGAGACAGACAGCAAGAAATCACCTCCCCTTCCCAGGAGGTAGCCACACCACAATCCCTTCTCCATTTTCCTCTTAGGACTTTGAGCATGTGTGCACAGGCACTTGGAATGAGCTTTAAGCTGCAGTTCTGGGACTAGAACTGCAGTTTAGTACATGAGAGTCCAGCGATGTAACCATTACACCATCTGCTAGTCCCAAGATGTATTTTTTTTTGGAGAGATTTTCACTGTAGGGCGTGTGCGCTCGCCAGACAGACAGAGAGAGACAGAGAGACAGAAAGCGAGAAATCACCCCCCAGGGGGGATGGTCACGCCGCAATCCCTTCTCCTCCATTCTCCTCTCGGGATCTTGGGCACACACGCACACGCGCCCGGCGTGAGTTTTAAGCCACCGGGTCCGGGACACGAACCGCGGTCGACTACGTGGGAGTCCAGCGACATAGCCATTACGCTAACTGCTGGTTCCCAAGATGTATTTTTTGATAATGTCTCACTGTGTCATGGCCCTCCTGCCCTTGCCTCTCAGGACCACAGGCATGCCCCACGTGCCAGCCCATTTAGGTTGATTTGGGAACTTAACCTGGGCCTCCCATGCAGCCTCAGCCACTGTGCAGTGGTTCCCTCCTGCTGACACCACCTTGAAATAGGTTTTGGGGACCAGCAGTTAGCGTAATGGCTATGTCGCTGGACTCCCACGTAGTCGACCGCGGTTCGTGTCCCGGACCCGGTGGCTTAAAACTCACGCCGGGCGCGTGTGCGTGTGTGCCCAGGATCCCGAGAGGACAGTGGAGGAGAAGGGATTGCAGTGTGGCCACCCCCCCGGGGGGGAATTTCTCACTTTCTGTTTCTCTGTCTTTGTCTGTCTGTCTGGTGAGCGCATGTGCCCTATAGCAAACACCTCTCCAAAAAAAAAAAGAAGAAATAGATTTTGTTTATTTTTTCCCCTAGAGGGTGTATGTACTCACCAGAGAGGGAGGGAGAGAGAAAGCACCCTACCGTGGGACCTGGTCACACTTGTATCCTTCTTCCTCCACTTCTCCATCCTGTTAGGATTCTGGCCATACCCACACGTATGCCTGGCATGTTTCTCGGGCTGCCAGGGCTGGCATTTGAACCACTGTTGGTCATGTGGGATTTCGCTTCATTTTACCACTGCACGATAGCTGTTCCATGAAGTTAGGTTTTTGCTATAGGCTGCTTGCACTCACCAGAGGGAGACAGAGAGATGGAAAATAAGAAATCACCCCAGGGGGACCTGCAGGTGGCATGGTAGTTAAGGTGCTGGACGCTCCCACATGGTTGACCATGGTTCAAGTCCCAGACCTGGTGGCTTGCTTTCTCACTTTCCCTCCCTCTCTCTCTCTGTTTCTTTCTTTGGTCAAATTAAAATAAATGAATGAATAAATGAAATTAAATACTTTTTTTAAAAAAAGAAAGAAATCACTCCGGAATGGGATGGCCATGCAGTCCCTTTTCCATTCTCTGCTCGGGATTTTGGACATCATGCACACGTGTGATCATGCACACGTGTGATGTGATTTTTCAGGCCACTGGGTCTGGAACTCTGATTGCAGTTGGCCATGTGGGAGTCCAGCGTCTTAACCACCATGCCACCTCCTGGCCCAAAATTGATCATTTTTAAGGTCCATTTTTACCTCTATAATTTTATAATTATGTTATAGTTACAATTATAAAATTATAATGGATCATGTCATCCACAAACATCTAGTAGCAAGCCAAAAGATGGGCAAAACTGCCTGAGACTCCCCGTTTTCCAGGCATCTCTCAGAGCAGTACAGAGCTGTGATGCGAGAGAGGTGGCAGTGTGCGGCCTGGATGCAGGCTTACTGGATGGTCCTTCTCAGCAAGTACTCTCGTGTCCAGCGATTCAAGAGGTTTCAATTAAAGCCTCTTTAGACTTGATTTTCAAAGGAGGTGGAGCTGGATTGAACTAAAATATGTGTCCTGTCTTTATTAAGAATCATGTAGTGATTACATGTCCTGTCTTTATTAAGAATCATGTAGTGATTACATATCGTGGAGCCAGTCCCCTTAATTCCTGCAGCCACAGTAGTGGGGGGCAACTTTCTTTCACTATAGCTATAGAAGGGAGCTCTTGCAAATGGGCTTAGTGAGTTCTTCAGGGCCAAAGGGATGCTTTTAGTTCTCCTGTTCTTCCCTGCAGTACATTTTTCTGATCTGAGTTAAACTGCTTTGGGCCTTTGATCAAGCTTATGGTTTTTCATGAGGTCAGCCTACATATGTCTTTGCTGCCTTTTTTCTGCATCCTCAGCACTGCCCAGATGGACAGCGTATGTATTTTACAACCCGCTGGTTTATATCTAATCCTTCTTTGGCTAGGGGCAGAGACTCTTACACCTATACCCAAGGGTCAGCTAGCAGCTCAGTCGTAAGCAGCAGGTAAGAAAGGGATTTATTTCGCCTCACACTGGCCTTCCACGATTCTGGCATATATGTAGTGGTATGTACAAATCACAGAGAAAGGTCAGTTCTGACTTCCCGAAACCTTCCCACGTCTCTCAAGTGATTCTCGGAAGTAGCAGCCTGTATATGCCAGGGACTATTCTGGGTCTGCTGTGAGGGCCTTATTTTAGGACTCCATCTCTGCTTCAAGTGACCGTTTTCTTTTCTGTTTTCAGAGCTGTGACTTGTGGTCTCTAGGAGTGATTATCTATGTGATGCTGTGTGGATACCCTCCTTTCTACTCCAAGCACCACAGCCGGACTATCCCGAAGGACATGCGGAGAAAGATCATGACAGGCAGTTTCGAGTTCCCAGAGGAAGAGTGGAGCCAGATCTCAGAGATGGCCAAAGATGTTGTGAGGAAGTGAGTCTGGGCTGCCAGAGGGGCAGCCACGGGTATGCTGAGGTGGTAGCACAAGGGAATGTTGGGGAGAGAAGAGTCCTTTGTTTCCCAGGTAGGCTCTTCCCATTTTAATATCACTGAAGAATTATTTCTGGAGCCTACAGTGAGAGTTCTCTGTGTCCAGCCCTCAGTGAGGACTGGTGTCTTCTCCTTCCTATTGCATCCCTAGACTTTGTCCCCAGTGTTGAAAAATCAGGTCCCTCTGGAGCTAGTCTCTGCGGGCATTACCGTAGGAGCCTCAAATAGAAACCACCTGTGTGCCCTCCTTCTTCCTTGATGCTTTCTGTAGTATCACTTCGGAGTCATTCACTTGGGATGGACATGCTGCTGGGAACTGAACCGGAGTACTGGAATGATGACATGTTTGGCTTTTCCTTCTGGGCAATCTGTGGTTAGGGCAGGCCTAGACCCCCCACCCTCCAGCTTTCCTGTTGCCAGTTGGTTGCTCTGACATGGATTAAAAAGGGAAAACTGAGTAAGGGGGCTGTTGAGTAGATTTGGGGGAGTACATTCAGAGTGCTTTGGTAGCTGGAAGAAGAGGTAAGAATGTAAATTTTAGGTATATTGGTGGGTTTGTTTGTTTTTGTTTTTGTTTTTTGTAATTTGCCAAAGGTTATGCTTGTAGGAGAGACATGGGTCAGGGAAGGAGTGAGAAAGCCTCCCCCTGAGGGGATGGTCACACCACAAACTCTTCTCTATTTCTCCCTCCTTTTGGGATTTTGAGCATACATGTATACACACTCAAGCTGCTGGGTCCAGGACTCTTAACTGCCAAGGTGGTCATTAGAGTAAAGCTGCCTTGGGACCAGCAGTTAACGTAATGGCTATGTCGCTGGACTCCCACGTAGTCGACCATGGTTTGCGTCCCGGACCCGGTGGCTTAAAACTCACGCCAGGCACGTGTGCGTGCATGCCCAAGATCCTGAGAGGAGAATGGAAGAGAAGGGATTGCCGCATGGCCATCCCTTCTGGGGGGTGATTTCTCGCTTTCTGTCTCTCTGTCTGGCGAGCGCACACGCCCTATAGCAAAAACCTCTCCAAAAAAAAAAAAAGAGTAAAGCTGCCTTCACCAGCACACCACCAGCTGGTTTGAGGTATATTGGTCTTTTCTGCTTTCCCTTAGGGGAGGCTTAGCTGACTGTGGACTTGGGTACTGTTTTGGTATTTCTACTGCTTGGTCTTCACTGAACAGTTTCTCATTTTTGCTCTCAGTTTCATCTGCATTGAGATGAAGGTAAGTGATAAAGGAGCATTCCCCAGGGACTGTCCCTGACAAGAGAGCCATTTCTTCATGGAGATTACTCCCTTTAAAAGTGAGCTGCTCAGTCCATGGCATGGTGTGTTCATGCCTAAAATCCAAAGAGGAGAATGAAGGAGAAGGGATTGTGGCATGACTGTTCCCACCCCCCGGGGGGTGATTTCTCATTTCTTCTCTGTCCCATCTGGTGAATGCATGCACCCTCTGGCAAAAAACAAACAAACAAACAAACAAACAAACTTACCAAAAACATAAGTAGGATCAAAAAGTGGACAGTGCGTGGGGCCGGCAGGTAGTATAGTGGTTAAGGGTGCTTGGACTCCCACATACCCTACCACAGTCCGAGTCCTGGACCTGGCAGCTTGCTTTCTCACTTTCTCTTTCTCATTCTGTCCCTCTCTGGTCAAATTGTAATAGATATATAAATAAATTAAATAATTCTTAAAAAAATAGAATTATTTATAAAAAAAAGTGGAAAGTGCAGAAATAGTATTTTCCTTCTCAGAGACTAGTGTTGTTTTTTTGTTTTGTTCTGAGAGATTTTTGCTATAGGGTGGATGCACTCACCAGAGAGACAGAAAAAAAAAGAAGCCCAGGGAGAATGGCCACACCACACTCCCCTCTCCTCCATTCTCCTCTTGGGATTCTGGGCACACATGCCCATGTGTTCAGTGTGAGTTTTAAGCTGCTGGGTCCAGGACTCAAACTGCATTTGACCATGTGGGAATCCAGCGTGTCAACCACCACGCCACCTGCTGGGCTCCTGAGAGACTCTATATTTTGAGTTTTTCAATGTCTGTGGAACAAATGGTTCCTGTCCTGCCATATGGTGACATCTAAGGGTTGTAACCTGGGTAGCAACCTGCTTTTTAGAACCATATAACCTCTCAACCAACTTTGCAGCCACTGTCAGTCAACAGAGATACTTGAGATACTTTTTTTTTTTTTTTTTTGCCAGAAGTTACACATGCATGCATGAGGTTAGGGCAAGGAACAGAGGGAGGGAAATAAAGCACCCACCAGCAGGGTGTGCTGGTCACACTAAAATCTTTCCTCCTCTGATTCTCCTTCCCTTCAGGATCCTCGGCACATAAACCCACTTGGCATATATTTTTAAGCCACTGGGGCCAGGACTTGAACCAGGGTCAGCCATGTGGGATCAGGCATCCTCTGTGTGGTCCTTAGCTACTGCACTAAAGGGCTAACCTGAGGTCCTTTTAGAAGTTAGTGCCTATTGTTCTAGAAATCTCTATATGGAAATTAAAGGTGTCAGGAACTCTGAGCCATATATGTAGGATTGTTTCAACAAACCCTAGAACTCAGCCTGAAGTACCACTGGATCAAGCTTTTTTCCTACCAATTTGATCTTACTTTGTCCAGTATAAAAAAGACCTTTTCAAGCCACAGTACCCTACAACAAGTGGTTAGGGACTAGAATCCCACCCCTGTTCTGCAGGTGGAAAGCCTACGATTGCCAAGAGTTGGTGGAAAATTAGAAGTAGCTAGAGCTGTTTTTAGCCAGACCAGAAATTTTGTGTTGTTTTGAGAGCAACTGAGTAGCAGCCTTGTTGCCATTTTCTCCACAGACTCCTAAAGGTCAAACCAGAGGAAAGACTAACCATCGAGGGAGTGTTGGATCACCCTTGGCTCAACTCAACTGAGGCTCTGGATAATGTGCTACCCTCTGCTCAACTGATGATGGATAAGGTGTTTTTCTTTTCTTCTTTTTTAAAGAATTATTTTATTTAACTTTATTCATTTGCTTATTTATTTTAATTTGACCAGAGAGGGACAGAATGAGAGTGAGCGAGCAAGCCACCAGGTCTGGGACTCGATCCATGGTCGGCCATGTGGGAGTCCAGTGCCTTCAACCACCATGCCACCTGCTGGCCCCTGATGAATAAGGTTAAGATGGTGCTTGTTTTCTGAAAAGGCCTGGTTGAGAAGAAATTCTGGGTCTTGACTCCGTGAGGGGCTAAAAGCAAAACAATGCAGATTGCATTCTAGGGAGGCATTGCTGGTTTTTTGAAAATCAGGATTTGACATAAAGAATTTCTTTCTAGACAGGACCACATAAGCTCGGCCCAGTCCGGTAAATATACACTAAAGAAACACTCAGAAGTATAGCCTCTATATTTGTACTGCAGGGTTGGGGGCAGTATAAAACACCCTGTCTCTCTCAAGGGATTCAAACAAGACTAGTTAGGAAGGCAAGGCCAATAAACATGAAACAGAGAGACCATTTAAGATACCAGTTTTGCATGTTAAATTTTCTGTGAATGCTGTAGGAATCATAGGGCACATGTGCTCACCAGAGAGAGGGAGGGAATGTGAAAAATCACCCCTCAGGGATGGACATAGCACAGTCCCTTCTCCATTCTTTTCTTTTTAGAGAGATTTTTGCTATAGGGTACATACACTTGCTGGAGAGACAGACAGAAAGAGAAATAACCCCCCAGGGGGATGGCCACACCACAGTCCCTTCTCCTCCATTCTCTTCTCGGGATTTTGGGCACAAATGCACATGTGCCTGGCGTGAGTTTTAAGCCACTGGGTCTGGGACTTGAACTGTGGTCAACTGCCTGGGAGTCCATCCAGCAAGGTAACCATTACACCATCTTCTGGTCCCCCTTCTCCATTCTGCTCTTGGGATTTTGGCCGTGCATGTGCCTGGAATGATTTTTAAGCTGCTGGGTCCAAGACTCAAACAGTTGTCAGCCACATGGGAGTCTAGCACCTTAACCACCATGCTACTTGCACCCCAACACACACACTAAAATAATATCTTTGAAGGGGTGAGATTTTCCTCCCTCCAAATAAAAAAAGGTAAAACCCCTCATATTTATTAACTACCTATTCTGTGGTGACTTTTGAGTTCTTTCACATGTTCAGGCATTAGTTGTCCTTGAAGATTTCAGCGTACATGCCAAAGTGTGGTGAACAACATGAGCATAACAGTAGAAATGAAGTACATTAGTGGGGAAAACAACTTGGCCTAGCTAACAGGAAGTTGATAAGACAGATATGGCAGGGCCAGGTTTTGCAAGTCGACCCAGGGGGGTAAGTCTTAATGGGATGCACTAAGAGGCCACGGTATATTTTTGAGAAGAGATTTGGCACAGGGAATGTATTTAGGGATGGTCAAACAGATTTGCAAACTTAAGCTTTCTGCAAAAATGTGGACACTAAGGGGTGGCTCTGAGAGCAGAGTAGAGATGAATGAATAGGCCCAGTGTTTTTGGAGAAACATTTCTACGGTTTTGGTGACTGGGTGGCTATGAGGAGATAAAGGGTACATATCTGGTGATCATCATTGACAAATAGAAATCAGACAGGAAACTGGTTTACATGGAAGTGACTCTCTTAGGTTTTGGGTATTGTTTGAAGTGGCAGAAGGACCTCCACATGAATGAGAGAATGTAGTGACGTACTAAAGAGGCTAAGTGGTCAAGACCGTGACACAGACTTGAGCATAACCAGCTTCGAAGGGATAGAGCCAACGTGCAAAAAAAAAAAAAAGTGAGTGAGGAAAAAAATGACAGTTAGCTGGGACCATGGGAGAGAAAGGAGAACTGGAAGGAACTGAGTTCTGTGCCATCTCTGAGTTGTGGGTGATTGTTTCCTGGTTTAAATATGTCTAGTAGTCCAGAATGGTTTGGTAGATGCAAAATCCAAAGGGATTACTTAGGTTCTGGTTGTTAGCATATGGGGGGCACAGTGTAGCATTCCTAAAGATCTTAGAATTGAGGATGGAAGAGTGCTATCTGGAGTTACTTAACAAACCAGTCCATAATGAAACCAAACCCTGACGTAGAGAAATAGTCCCTTCATAAGAAAGAGCGTAAGATGCCTATAGGATGAAACTGCACGTGACAGTGTGTTCCCATTTCTAAAGAAATTACGTGGTCATGACATGAGTTGGTCAACTTTCAGAGTCTAAAGAAATGGTCTCATGGACAGATGTTGAATAGCATCCTAGCATCCAGCTAAACCTTGCCTAAGATAGCCTGAGGTTCATGACCTTGAGCTGTTTGCATGTTTTTGGTTGGTGCGGAGAGTTTGTCCTTTAAAAAAAAAAAAGAAAGAAAGAAAAATGTGATCATCTCATTCCTGTGAAGCTTTCTGCTGGTTATTTGGCTTTCCATGTTGGTCTTCCCATAATGAGAGCCCATATTGGCCTGGTCTCCATGACAGTTACTTCTCATTGTAAATGACTTGACTGGCGTATCGATCAGGCTGGCCTCAATTCATGAAGATCTGCCTCATCAGGGTTGGCGATGCTCACTGTGTGAAATGGGTGGGTTCTGAGCCATCAAGGCAAAGGTGATGGTATATATCGAGGCAGAAAGTAAGTGGTAGTTGGTCAGGCTTCTCTGGCAGTAGTCTGCCAGCCTTTCATCCAATGTACATGTTTGCCTGTCTTCATACTTGGCCTATCAGTGGCTGCAAGCGTGTTCCTTATTAATATTTCTTGCCTGTGTTTCTGTCCCCCTGCCAGGGCTAGCTGTTATGTGGCTTTGGTTAGTTTGAGGTGCCCTGGGCCCTGCTGATCCATGGAGAAGAGTCCTCTGCCTTGGCAAAATTTGAATACTGTTAGCATAAGAATGAAATGGCCTATTTAAAACTTTGGACTTCTCCTTTCCACTTTCTCAGATTGGCCTTTTAGGTGCTCAGCAATGAATGTGAAAAACTGATGACAGTGTTTCTTTTTAGGCGGTGGTTGCAGGAATCCAGCAGGCTCATGCGGAGCAACTGGCCAACATGAGAATCCAGGACTTGAAAGTCAGCCTCAAACCCCTGCACTCCGTGAACAACCCCATTCTGAGGAAGAGGAAGTTACTTGGGTAACTGAGCTTATTTTTTTTTTTTTTTAATTCTCCTTTATGGCTAGCATGGCTAAGTGCTAGGTTCCGAAGCTCAGCCAAAGGTCTGCCCTTTTTCTGTCTCTTAAGAGGGTGGAAAGGATAAGTTCTTCAAATAACATCAGAAGTTGGATATACAGTCTATTGTTCTGAAAAATCTGTGGCCTTATGTTTAGAGTTAATATCTATGCAGAGTTGGGTTTGGGGGGGAGTCTTACCTTGTTATTACCTTTCCTCCAAACTTTCAAAGCACCAAGCCAAAGGACGGTGTTTATATCCACGACCATGAGAATGGAGCCGAGGATTCAAATGTTGCCTTGGAAAAGCTTCGAGATGTGATTGCTCAGTGTATTCTCCCCCAGGCTGGTAAAGGTCACGCCATTTACTAATGCTCACTCTGTGTGTGTGTGTGTGTGTGTGTGTGTGTGTGAGTGAATGGAGTTTTTATTTTATTTTTTTTGTTGTTGTTGTTAAGGTTTTTGACATAGGGTGTGTGCGCTCACCTGAGAAACAGAGATAGTGAGCGAGAAAGTGAGAAATCACCTCCTGGGGGGATGGCCATGCTGCAATCCCTTCTCCATTCTCTTCTTGGGGTTTTGGGCCCTCATGCACACATGCCTGGTGTCAATTTCGAGCCACTGGGTCCAGGACTTGAACTGCAGTTGGCCATGTGGGAGTCCAGTGCCTTAATCACTATACCACTGCTAGCCCCAAAAGGAATGTTTTAATTGAGGATTATCTGTGCCATCCTTGCATTATAAGAAAGTTCATTATATAAATTGGTCTGCGCCCACTAAAAAGACTGGACAGTGGTAAGTTCTAGCCTTCCTTTGGTTTTCTGTGAGATTTCTGGTTTAGGCTTAATTGCCAGTGTCAGTTACAGCATTATAATATTGTGTTTTCTTAGTTTCAGAATGAAGGCATAGGGTAGGAGATGGAGAATGGAAAATGTGGACAAGGCTAAGATCAGGTTTCAGGTGGCTAAACATCATTTTTTGGGGGAGAGATTTTTGCTATAGGGCACGTGCGCTCGCCAGAGAGACAGAAAGCGAGAAATCACCCCCCAGGGGGGATGGTCACGCTGCAATCCCTTCTCCTCCATTCTCCTCTCGGGATCTTGGGCACGCATGCACACGCGCCTGGCGTGAGTTTTAAGCCACTGGGTCCGGGATGCAAACCGCAGTCAACTACGTGGGAGTCCATCATTTTTAGGGCTTTTAGAGGGCAAGGCTAGTTTGTTTGTGAATATAAAGATAACTTCACTAGTTCAGAAATGGCCTGATGCCACTTGTCTCACGAGTAGAGTGACTTACACATGGATCCTTTTGGGGTAAGAGCTTTCCTTAAAGTATTTTTCTCTTTCAACACGTTTAATAGGCTAGTCTCCACAAATGAGTGAAGTCTCACATACTAGACCAGAAAACTGTTGGGTTTACCTGCCCTAAATTACTTGGATTTTAAGAGAACTTAGGTAATGTACCCCATAAAGCCTTCTAGAACAAGAAATGAGCTTAGAACAATGCCCTGCTCAGCCTTGTTCGCCCTCTCTCTCTTGGTCTTAAGTTAGCCAAGTATGTTGCTCAGTAATAGAGTCTTCCACAGCCTATATCTCAATGCTGAGGCAGTTGGTCCACCAGAGGATTTGTGTGAGGATATAAGAGTTCAAAGACCAGAAGTGGTCTATGTATAATGTAGGGACTGGCAGTAAAGCCAGTGTCTAGTACAACTTCACAATTAATCATTTCTCAACCAGTTGAACATTATGTCCACCCATCTATGAAACTACAAACCCATGAGGCTGCCAGAAAAATGCAACTTCCTCTTCATTTTTATCAATAGGAGAGAATGAAGATGAGAAGCTGAATGAAGTAATGCAGGAGGCTTGGAAGTATAACCGGGAATGCAAACTCTTAAGAGATACTCTGCAGAGCTTCAGCTGGAATGGTAAGAGCCTTAATCACTGCTGTTCTCAGGAACATAGAGAAGTGATCATGTTTAGAATGTGTAGGATCCTTTTGGGGCCTGAACTTGGACTGTTTTCAAGTAAAATGAGGCTGGAGAGTTAGTGAAATATTAGAGATGAGAGCTAATTCTCTTGTCAACTACCCTGTCATACCTGGGCATCTGGATCTTTCACTGGTTTTTCAGAATTGTGTATTACAGATTCAACACTGGAGAGCCCCCATCACATAGCAGTTAGGCAAAAATTAAACAAAAATCCAGATCTCAGAACTCCTCCCAAGACACCAGGGTTGTTTACCAGGTCATTAAGGAGTAGCACACACGAAAGGGGAGAAAGAGGATTAAGTACCATAGAGTCTGGCCTTCATCTGCTTAGCTTAGAGAAGAGTCATTTCACTAAAGAGTAGAAATTTGCCAACTCTGCTAGTTGAATTTTTTTTTTTTTCTAAACAAGTTAGAGATGCATTTCTTTCTTTCTTTTTGTTTTTAGACAGATTTTTGCTATAGGTTGTGTGCATTCACCAGAAAGAGAGAAAGCGAGAAATTACCCCCGGGGGGATGGCCACACCACAGTCACTTCTCTTCCATTCTCCTCTTGGGACTTTAGGTACACACGCACACATTCCCAGTATGAGTTTTAAGCCATTGGGTCCAGGACTCGAACCATGATCAACTACATAGAAGGTCCAGCATTGTAACCATTACACCATCTGCTGGTCCCAGAAGTGCATTTCTTGAACTGATTTTTGTATTGTCATTCCAGTTTAGCAGACAGTATTTTTTTTTTTTTGGAGAGGTTTTTGCTATAGGGCGTGTGTGCTCGCCAGACAGAGAGAGACATAGAGACAGAAAGCGAGAAATCACCCCCCAGAGGGGATGGTCACGCTGCAATCCCTTCTCCTCCATTCTCCTCTCGGGATCTTGGGCATGTACGCACATGCGCCCAGCGTGAGTTTTAAGCCACCGGGTCCGGGAGGCGAATCGCGGTCGACTATGTGGGAGCCCAGCGACATAGCCATTACGCTAACTGCTGGTTCCCAAGATTTACTATTTGACCCAAAATGAGTATGAGGAGGTCTGACTCCCTAAAGATGGATCAATAAAGACCCGGTCGATAGTCTATGTATGCTTATCCACTATAACAATGATACCTACAGTCTCCCTGAATAGCTTGAATGCCCTATAAAAGGAGTGCCCTCCTACCTGGTTGGTGGACTGAGGCACCTCATGCTTCAGACCTCTGAATACTATCTCTCAATAAACTGTCCTTTTTTCTTTGGGGAAAAAAAAGATATTACTATTTGTGGTTTGCTTGTATGTTGTGGCAAGCATGGATTTTTACTGTCAGTTAGTCAATGGAACTACTGCTCAATTGCTGCCTGAATAATGGGGGATCTGAACTGCTTTTGATGGTTCTTCCATGGGTAAGGGTAAATTTTGATACTGGTGAGGTGTAACTCACTGGGGTCCCTATCAGAATCTGTCACCTCTCAGAGTTTGAAGACTGACCTCATTCTTTCTTGGGTTTTAGGTCGTGGATTCACAGATAAAGTAGATCGACTAAAACTGGCAGAAATCGTAAAGCAAGTGATCGAAGAGCAAACTACGTCCCATGAATCCCAATAATGAAACTTTGTTTTTTAACAATTTGAAAAATTATTCTTTAATGTATAAAATAATTTTTATGTAAATTAATAAATCATAATTTCATTTCCACATTGCTTAAAGTTGCTATATAGTTTTAAAGTACAGGATTAACTAATAATGTAGTCACTGTTCGTTTTTAAGAAAAGCTCAGTTCCTAGAGATATACTATTACTTTAGGACTGTTTAGTCACTTATTTGTAAAACAACAGATGGTATTGTCAAGCAGGATTGCTTTATTTGTAATAAAGTATACAAAACCACTTGCCAGAGGTAGGACCAACTATACCGACCTTTCTGCTTAGTAAACAGTTGAATGAAGTACTGTGGAATCTGGTTTCATTCACCCTGTGTGTTCATTTTCTAATACCAAGAAATTTTTATGGATCAAAATCATTGCAAACCATCTGCTAGAACTCTTAGGATCGCTTGGGCCTGGGGAACCAGTCCCCGCAATGGAAAAGACAGGGAGCTGAGACCTCACCTCCTTTGCCCCTAACTCCTTAAAGCAAAGTAGTAAATTTTCTTTTTTGTTCTATCTGTTAAAAGGGTATTAGTGTGGGGGGGGGCTTGTTTTTTTGTTTTGTTTTGTTTGTTTTTGTAGTAGGCCTCGTGCTGGCCAGAGAGAGGGAAAGTGCAAAATAAGAAATCAACCCCGGGTGGATGGCCACACCGCATTCCCTTCTCCTCCATTCTCCTCTTGGGATCTTGGGCATGCACGCACATGCACCTGGCATGAGTTTTAAGCCACCGGGTCTGGGACTCAAACTGCAGTTGACTACATGGAAGTCCAGCGATATAGCCATTATGCCAACTGCTGGTCCGCCTGGTATGATTTTTAAGCTGCCAGGTTCAGGCTCAAACTGAGGTCAGCCATGTGGGAATCTAGCACTTTAACCATCATGCCACTTGCTGGCCCCATTGGTGTTTAATGTTTTTTGTTTTGAGAGATTTTTTGCTGTGTGGCATATGTGCTTGCTGGAAAGACAGAGAGAGAGGGATAGAGAAAGTACCCGGCATGAGTTTCAAGCTGCCAGATCAGAGACTCAGACTGTAGTTGGGAGTTCAACGCCTTAACCACTATACCACCTGCTGGCCCCCAGCCATTGGTGTGTTTTTTTTCAATCAAATGTGAATCTCTTTTGGATCTATTGAGAGCTTCCCTTTCGTTCTCTCGGAGATTCCATTTTATCTTCTCTCCTCCCCATAGTACTCAGCAGCATCACCATTTCTCACTCTTCCCCTGTCCCCTGCCCCCCTTTTTGGATGCTTGTTTTGAGAATTACATATAATAGAAACTGGACTATTGGATTAGCATCTAAGATTATCCTTTTTTTTTTTGGAGAGGTTTTTGGAAGTACTGTGGAATCTGGTTTCATTCACCCTGTGTGTTCATTTTCTAATACCAAGAAATTTTTATGGATCAAAATCATTGCAAACCATCTGCTAGAACTCTTAGGATCGCTTGGGCCTGGGGAACCAGTCCCCGCAATGGAAAAGACAGGGAGCTGAGACCTCACCTCCTTTGCCCCTAACTCCTTAAAGCAAAGTAGTAAATTTTCTTTTTTGTTCTATCTGTTAAAAGGGTATTAGTGTGGGGGGGGGCTTGTTTTTTTGTTTTGTTTTGTTTGTTTTTGTAGTAGGCCTCGTGCTGGCCAGAGAGAGGGAAAGTGCAAAATAAGAAATCAACCCCGGGTGGATGGCCACACCGCATTCCCTTCTCCTCCATTCTCCTCTTGGGATCTTGGGCATGCACGCACATGCACCTGGCATGAGTTTTAAGCCACCGGGTCTGGGACTCAAACTGCAGTTGACTACATGGAAGTCCAGCGATATAGCCATTATGCCAACTGCTGGTCCGCCTGGTATGATTTTTAAGCTGCCAGGTTCAGGCTCAAACTGAGGTCAGCCATGTGGGAATCTAGCACTTTAACCATCATGCCACTTGCTGGCCCCATTGGTGTTTAATGTTTTTTGTTTTGAGAGATTTTTTGCTGTGTGGCATATGTGCTTGCTGGAAAGACAGAGAGAGAGGGATAGAGAAAGTACCCGGCATGAGTTTCAAGCTGCCAGATCAGAGACTCAGACTGTAGTTGGGAGTTCAACGCCTTAACCACTATACCACCTGCTGGCCCCCAGCCATTGGTGTGTTTTTTTTCAATCAAATGTGAATCTCTTTTGGATCTATTGAGAGCTTCCCTTTCGTTCTCTCGGAGATTCCATTTTATCTTCTCTCCTCCCCATAGTACTCAGCAGCATCACCATTTCTCACTCTTCCCCTGTCCCCTGCCCCCCTTTTTGGATGCTTGTTTTGAGAATTACATATAATAGAAACTGGACTATTGGATTAGCATCTAAGATTATCCTTTTTTTTTTTGGAGAGGTTTTTGCTATAGGGCACATGCGCTCGTCAGACAGAGAGATAGAAAGCGAGAAATCACCCCCCAGAGAGGATGGCCACGCCGCAATCCCTTCTCCTCCATTCTCCTCTCAGGATCTTGGGCACGCACGCACACGCACCCGGCGTGAGTTTAAGCCACCAGGTCCGGGACTCGAACTGCGTTTGACTACGTGGGAGTCCAGCGACATAGCCATTACGCCAACTGCTGGTCCCAGATTATCCTATTTTTTAACTTTAGAGCTGCCTTTTTCTCTGAAATACTTTTACCTGAGTTTTGTGTTGGCATGCCCTGGGCTGCATTTATGTGTTCAGTAGTACCCTTCACTTTTAGGAACCCTGGTTCTGGTCTGGAGAGTAGCGGCTTGAATGAAAAATAAGACTGGGGGGCCAGTAGGTGGTGCATTGGTTAAGGTGCTGGCCTCCCACATGGCTGACCACCATTTGAGTCCTAGGCCTGGTCACTTGCTTTTTCACTTTCCTTTTCTCTAGTGAGCGCACGTGTCCTATAGCAAACTTAAAAAATAATACTAATAAAAGTAATTTAAAAAAATAAGGTTGGATGCTTTTCTCATCCTTATGCATATCACCTTCCACAATAAGCCAGTTTTTGGTGCTTGCTTTATTTCTTTTTCCTTTTTTTTAGAGAGACTTTTTGCTGTAGGGTGCATGTGCTCACTGGAAATAGAGAGACAGAGAGACAGAAAACGAGAACACCACAATCCCTCTCTTCCATTATCCTCGGGATTTGGGGGCATGCATGCACACACGCCCAGCAGGAGTTTTAAGTTGCTGGGTCTGGGACTCAAACCAAGGTTGACTACATGGGAGTCCAGCGATGTAACCATTATGCTATGTGTTGGTCCCTATTTATTTTATTTCTTGAGGAAGGGAGAGACTCTCAATAGAGGCTTGCTATGCTGCAGTCTTTCCATTCCTTCAACCTTCCAGTCAGCCAGGCGTGTTCAGATGGACCTAGGCAACAATCCCAGGGCCTTTCTGTTTGGCCCCATTATACCACAGCAGCATCCTACCAACTGTGACCCTGAGGCTGTGTTCGTTTTCAAAGCAATTTTTGGTATACATATGCATTGGTAGGTAGAAGAGTTAATAGGCAAGCTATAATTCGTAGGGCAGAGGAAGAGAAATAGTACTCAATTATTCTATTATATCCTTGTGTCAAAACTGATCCCATAGAGCATAGAGATTTTCTAACTCCGTTACTTTGAGGAGTGTATCTTCAGGGTAACATTTGATTAGTATATTCTATGTGTGTATGGCTGACTGGGATATATGATAAAAATACAAAGTATCTTTTTTAAAAAAAGATAATTATTTTATTTTACTTTATTTATTTTAATTTGACCAGAGAGGGACAGAGAGAGACAAAGTGAGAAAGCAAGCCACCAGGTCTGGGACTTGAACTGGTCAGCTGTGTGGGAGTCCAGTGCCCTTAACCACCATGCCACTTGCCAGCCCCACGAGTATCTTTTAAGAATATTTTGATACATGAGTTTTTTTTTTTTTTTTTTTATGTTGGAAAATTTATAATTCAAACTTTTTTGTGGGGTTGGGGGAGAGATTTGCTATAGGGCACATGTGCTCGCCAGAAAGACAGACAAAGCAAGAAATCACCCCCCAGGGGGGATGGCCACACTGCAATCCCTTCTCTACTCTCCTCTCAGGATCTTGGGGCAGGCATGCACACGCACCCAGTGTGAGTTTAAGCCACTGGGACCGGGACTTGAACCATGGTCGACTACATGGGAGTCCAATGACATAGCCATTATGCCAACTGCTGATCCCAAGTTTTTTTTTTTTGAGAAGTTTTTGCTATAGGGCACGTGTGCTCGCCAGACAGAGAGAGACATAGAAAGAGAAAGCGAGAAATCACCCTCCAGGGGGAATGGTCACGCCACAATCCCTTCTCCTCCATTCTCCTCTCGGGATCTTGGGCACGCACACACACGCGCCCGGCGTGAGTTCTAAGCCACTGGGTCCAGGACGCAAACCGTGGTCGACTACGTGGGAGTCCAGCGACAGCCATTACGCTAACTGCTGGTTCCTGATCCCAAGTATTTTTTTAGGTAAGTTTTATTAATCTTAGATGACTGATAAATGTTATAAATGAATGCCCTATAAGAAGAATTGAGTGCTTTTCAAGGTGGCAAAATCTTAAGAGGAAGCAGAGAAAATGTTTTAACTGACCGGAAAATGTGGCTGAGAGTTGAATTAAGGGCAGAGCCTGTTTGTCAGTGAAATACAATCTTACAGATCACTTCTTGCAGTCAGGAAAAAACTCTGCACTTGTTTCTATACATTTGAACACCTATACTTTTTACTAAAGGAGGAGAGGTTCAAGATCCATGGAGAGAAGCCTAAACTGCTTTTGATATTCCTTTTACTTTGAAGAAATCTTCTAGTATTTCAGTTTACCATTAACTTATCAAATTAGTTATTCTCCTGTCTTCTAAAGATTCAGGATGATTTTTTCCCCTTCAGTGTGGCGTGAATTGTATACAAGATGTGAAAGGGTATCCAAAATGGTATTTGTTTTACCTGTGCATCATTGTCCACGTTCAGATACTCCTGGTGGAATTTATCTGGCCCTCAAAATGAATGTTGTATCCAGATAGGACTTGAACATCCCACTGCAAGCTAGTAGATAATCTGGTGATTTAAGTACTTCAGCCAATATAACCCAAAACTGGGTCTTTAAAACAGAGCATCTTGAAAAAGCAATAGCTCTCTGGACCAGAAGGTAGCATGATCATTAAGCTGCTGGACTCGCACATGACTAACCACGGTTTGAGTCCTGAACTTGGTGGCTTGCTTTCTTACTTCCTCCTCGCTCTGCTCAAATTAAATAATAACAAATGAAATTAAATATTTTTTTTTATAAAATAACTCTTGAGTAATTTAAC